AGCGGCGCGGCGCGGCGGCGGACCTTACCTGACCACGCTGCGGAGGGTGGACCTGGCCCTGTTGCCGGCCATTCCGGAAGCCACCAGCGCCCGGAAAGTTCCTTTCCACAGCCTTTCGAAGATGACCTCGCCGTCGACGGGACGGTGGGGCGGGCGACGGCCGCCGCGGCCCGACATGGGCGGCCGAGGGAGCGCCCGGAAGAGAGGGACGACTTGGAAGACTTGCGCGCGGAGGCGGAGGACCCGGCCTTTCGGGTCCCCGACGCTCTAAGGCCAGAAAATGGAAGACTGCGTGCGGGCCGGGCCCGCTTCGGCCGGCCGGAGGTCCGGTCGACGGAAGCCGGGGAAACCGGCCGCGGGATCAGACGGAGCGACGACTCGCAGACGGAGGGCGACCCCGCCCGAGGAGACGGTCTCGGGGTCCGAATCCCGCCCAGGCCATTGTGGAAGACGGGGAAGCGGACGACGACGCCCGGTGGCCTTCTGCCGGACCGTCCGCCGATGCACTGACCGGCCGACGTCGTCTCGCCCGACTCCTCTCCTTCCCGCGCCCGCCATTGGCCGGGTGGCGGCGGGCCCGGCCAATGGCGGCCGAGGAGAAAATCGATGGCGGCGCGGAAGACGGTTCCGTCGCCTCGGCCGGGTGGGCCGCGCAAAGGGGGAAAGTCGTCGGGATTAGACGACGGCCGGGATTAACGCTGTTTTACGAGTCCGGGGTGCGGAGAAACGTGCCCGAAAGGCGACGGGCGGCAGAGATAAGAAAAGTCTCCGGCGCCCGACTCCCTTTCCCGCGCGGCAATTTCCATTCCCGAAAGCGGAGGGGAGAAAGGCGAACGGCTCCCCCAACGAAAACCGACCAGCCTAATTAAAATTCCCCGGAGGAGGGCGCGCTCTTTCCTCTCTTCTCGAATTAATTCCGTTCGGGATGCGGCGGAGGGGAAATCTCCCGGCTCCGCTTCGATCTATCGGGCCAGGCGCGCGGAAACGACGGAGGAGGAAACGCCACGTCACGGGGTCGAACGCCGGTCCCCGAGCCGCGTCTTAACGCTTTTTTTCGTCGGTGTTTGTTCACGGCAAGGGAGGAAGTCTTTTGATTCGCTCCGCGGCGGACGAGACGGGGAAAACGGCGCGGGTCTCGGAGGGAGGTCGGGTTCCGGCGGCGGGGACGACGCGCGATTAATCCTTTTATTTCTGCCGGGGGAGCGGGCGGCGGAAGACGTTTCCGGTCGTTCCCCGCCCGACGGACGTTGCGGTTAGGACGAAAACGGACGATTTTTCTTTAGAAATTCGGTAGGCGCAGAAGAAACGTCTTTAAAAAGACGGCTTTCCGCGCCGAGGAACAGAGTGCTCGGTCGGGGACGGAAGGTGCGGGTCTACAAGCCGTAAAGTGCAAACGGGCGGAAGAATCCGTCCACCCGGCTAACGACTACACCCGCGACCGTTCCGACGCGGCAAAATTTAAACAGGTGGCGGACGACGGGCCAATCTCTCTCTGCAAATCGGCTTCCGACTATAAAATGAACTTTCCGCTAACCAAATCGTTATTTATTAACAACACTGGCGGCGGCCTTAAACCGGAAATAAATGCCGGTAAAATAAAGTTCCGGGTCGTTTCTAACGGAAAGAAAATCCCAAATCGTCGATATTTTAGTTAAATCTTTCCCACCTAATGGAAGGGCGCGACCGCCTTCCCCGGGACCTAAACGGTAGGGCGGCGCGTTACCTCCCCGCCACCCAGCCGGAAGGCCGAGGAGTGGGGGGCGACTGGGCCCGGAATTTTTATGGTGATTTAGTCGGAGTTTTGGCCGCCAAAATTTAACGGTCACCGTCCCCGGTGTACTTGGGGTATTTTGGACAGAGGGCGCGGGACTTATTAAGCCGGAAAGAGGGAGAAGGAAACCGTGAACGTCCGTACCTAGAGAAAAGCCCCGAAATTTTTTCATTTTTATAAGTAAAAACGTGCGGCGGAAGACGACAATTTTGCCGACTCGGCCGCGGGCGCCTTTGGCTCTTATTAACGTTGGAGCGTCGGAAATCGTAATTCGAAAATGAAATTTTTAATTTTATTCGCTCGAATGCGATTTTTCTTTAGAAATTCGGTAGGTGCCGAAGAAACGTCTTTAAAAAGACGGCTTTCAGCGCCGGGGAACAGAGTGCTCTTCCGGTTAACCGCTATTTATTGAATGGAGAAATTCGACCTGCCGAAATACGTAAACGGCGCGATAATTTGCCAACCTCTCGCCGCCGTTCGACTTTTGCAGCGGTCGTCCTCCCTAAGGAATACTCCGGAAGACGGAAAGGGAGTCGATAGGCGTCAAAAGCGGCCCGGTTCTAACGCGCTTTTAACGCCGATCGATGGCAGATTCCGGCCATTAATTATGGCCGCCGGGGAAAATGTCCGGGTTTTGAGAAAATTTGGCCCTTCTCCGGTAATTAGTGTTTTAATAACGCGACCGCGCAACGGTAACGGACGATCGTAGGCAAAATAAAACGTAGACGATATGACTAATACAGCCATTCCATCTGGCGGGAGACCCACCGGAAAGAATTTGTCCGTACAGGATAGGTTAAGCTGGACACCGGTCGAATGTAGGGCCCCGTATTTACCAAACAAGCTCGGAAGTTAAATTTCATACAAGTTTTCCATTAATTCTGATAAATTTAAATAATACGGAATATCTAAATCTGTTAAACGAAGATTAGTATTTCGCCACCGAAATTAGTCATAACAGACTAAATAAAGTCGAAGAAATTTTCCCTTAATACAATAAATGATTAGTTGTTCGAAATACACCAATAAATAACAATTGTTTAATAATGTTTATATCTGTTTTAAGCTATTTAATTTGTGTTTACCGTAAAATTCAATTTAGTAAACAGAAACAATAATTTTTACATAAATTGAGTGTAAATACAAAATAACGACTGGTAAAAAGTTGATGTTTTAGAAGAAAAACACGTACTGTCTTCTTAGCCAAGGCAGGTGCATACTTTTCCGCCATTTGAAGTAATATCACGACACGAATATTAGATATAGGTGAAATACGAGAGACAAACATTTGTTTCCGTCAAATAAATTATCAATTAAATAGGTTTATTTAGGAAAATTCAATTGTCGATAACCCAGCTGAAATATAAACGCGTTTACAAATTATGGCAATTTTCTGTTTTTATACACGTTACCATGCTATATTCTAGGAAACCGTCTTTAATACAGAAAGGGTAACGAAGGATCGTCGGCCATTGTAATTAATTATACCAAAAAACATTTCACCGCAACAATATTTTACGTAAATGTAAGTAAATTTTATTATAATTTAGATAAAAAGACATCTTTTTTTTCCACGTTTACTATACGATCAGCGCTCGTTGTTAATGAAAAACGTATTAAAAATTAATAACAATTTAATTTTTTGGATCCGCCCCTGGTCCGCATTCCTTTTGATAACTTTTTCGATTATCGGAAAGACGTAACCGGGCCACCGTAAGAGGGGAATTAAACCAGAAATGGTAGGCTATAAAACATAGAACGAAGAAAAGAACAAATTTAGATAAAGTTATACCGGGCCATCGTCGTCCGTCCGTCTCGACAACGGAGTTAAACGAAATAAGAGACCTTAGGAAGGCATGTCATTTACGAAAGTGGCGTAATTTCGACCGGAAACTTCCCCCGAAAGGTGTTAGCTAGGTGACCGGCACGACTCCGTTGCTAAAGGAAAAGTAAGATGTACGGGGGCGAGACGAATTCCGGGTGGAGAGTATATATTTTGAATTAAATAAATTAAAAATACGAATGAAAATTGCTCGCTCTCTTCTATAAGTATGTAAAGATATATTTTATAATATGACGGATTTGCCTACGTTTCGTCCGAGCGTTTAGTTGTGTTTTATTTATTTATTACGTATTAGCGAAACGACCACTATTTGACCCAGCGATACGGGCGAACGTGCCTAAAAACTTTACAACGGCATTTGCTGTCCGGGCAAAAAAATTATTAATAACGGCTCGTACCCACGTCGTTCTTTACTGGTAGAACGAGCCGTAGGACGACGTTTCGATTTGCCGGGGAAGCACAAGGGTAAACGCTCGTTAATTTATAAAGTATTCGACAGTTAATTTTCTCCTTTAAATTAATTATTTACTTATACCGTCGTAGACACGCCACACACCCTAAATGAATTTAATTACAAACACCAAAAAATAAAGTAATATAAAAAACTAACACTTTATAATAATCAAGAATTGACTAAAGAACGAAATAATAATAATAATCACAGATGAAAAATAAAAACGATAAGCTAGTTTTTTATCTGCATAGGAAATTATTATCCTAATTCATTTGCTAGATTACAGTTATTTTTGTCACGCGGCGGGACAAATCCCAAACTAGTTAATAATTGTTATAATTGCATTAAACGAAAGAAAAATTTTAACTCGGCTATCCGGATATGCCTTTGTTTTTGTTGGCCAAAGCCATATAATTACGGCCCGATTAAGACCAAACCCGGGCTAGTGACGGCACTTTTTCCTTCCCGCCGGGCAATTTAAAGGCGGACGCTTTCCTAGGCCCGGGCCACCCGGCCACCGTTCCCAAGGCGATTTTTCCCCGTCCGCGGCTCTCGGGCCGTTTCCGGGTGCCCCGATCCCACCGGGAGGTTTGTTCGTTTAGTTCTGGCAACGCAACACTCGGCCGATCTGACCTTTCCAGTAAAACTGGCTCCTATTTATAACTCCACGTGGCCGAACGCACGATCGAACTCCCAGTGTTCGAGGTACGAAAACCGGGAGGGGAATCTGACGCCGTTCCGCAAATTGGAGACGTTCAAAACGGGATAAATGAAGAATGGGGTAAAAATTGCAGCCGGGCACGACTACCGCCTGGCCGAAAATAATTGCCGGTTTGTAATTTCGCTTTATTACTTTTCTGCGGGTTAAATTTCGTAAATCCCATGCGAATCTATTTAAATGGAAAAAAAAACGATAATCGATTAAGACTTACATCGGTCGTCCTTGATCGTCTTTCGGAATCTCTCTCTCTCTGGTGTCCTCGATGTTGCTCAACATAAAACGAAAAGTGGCGACTTTTTCGTCGATTTCCTCTTGCGAATAACTGAAAAATGCAATTTATTTCTTATAAATTTACGCTTTCTTTCGGATAAGTAAATATTCCCAACCTTTTCTAAATCTATAGTATAGGCGCACCTTCTTACCGAAATAATTTGAATCTAGTCAATTCTCGCTGCCACGAAAACTTTTACGAAATACCCTTACCCACTTTCGCCGTTTCTTTGCGCGCTACCGTTCTATTACAGATTTCCCAGCCCGGGTGTACTTTAAAATAAACTTCACCTCTTTCTTCAGTTCGTCCCCGCATAAATACTAGTCTACTCTTTTCCGTCGACCCCTTCATTTTTCCGCATTTTGCGTCATATATCCGGTAAATTATTAAATCGTTAACGAATTTACTGCGCCGCAATTTTCAAATTGCCACCGTTAATCTCGACGACGCGCAGTGGGACCAAATCCCAAAAAGCTGGCCAAAAGTCGAAAAATAGAGTTTAAGTTCCGGTAATTTCTAGTCGTGGGTTCGGTTGGATAAGAGTCCGAAGGTCGAATTCTAGACTTTAGCGCCCCCTATCCCTTATACCCGCTATTGTAGTTTAGTCGAAAGGGGCCCCTCAATTGAGCTAGACGCGTCATGCAGTAAGCAAAGATTTCTACGCTATATTCGAGAGGGTGCCAAATTTCTAAAAATCAATCGAATTTAAATTTAAAAAATGGAATTTGCAGCCGCAAGTAAGTAGAATATTATTATGTAACACAAAATTGATAATAATACTTTGTGATAACAGTAAACGAATGATTCGTACGAAAATGAACGGAAGATTACAACAGAACATTTTAAACACGTAGAGAAAAGTTCATAAATTCTGTAGAGTTCCGCGACTGGACCGATCGCGTGTTGTAGATCGAACTATTATTGAATGAAAAAAGTTAAAACTAGCTGCAACTATCTGCAATTGTGTCATTGGTGCGAATTCTTGCAATGTAAAACATGGTTTTCTGAATTTTGTACATTAACGACGCTCTTTTTCTCGAATTTATCTGTGTGTTTTGAATATTGTTTGCGTGTAGCATATAAGCTTGAAATCAAACTGTGGCAAGCGCATAGTGATAAAGAAAATAAAGAAATGAGATTCTGAAAAACGAATATACAGAAGGGTTTCCGTATAGAATTGGGTCTAACAGTCGATCAATCAAAGCCCGGTTTCGGTAGCTCGAATGATGAGAATACCGCTCGACAATTTTTCGAAAACTCGAGCATTTCTGCCGCTATTACAGAGGTTGATGAGGACTCGATTAAGCGTTTCCGTGTCATATTGCAGACAATTTCGTGTAGCCACGAAATCGATTTCATAGAATTTCAAGATTGTGCCTTACAGACAGCTCGTTACTTTGTGCAGTTATATCCATGGTTCTGCGTGCCAACTTCGGCACATAAGATATTGATTCGTGGTGCAGAAGTGATAAATTCATCGGTATTGTCGATAGGGCAGATGTCCGAAGACGCTCAAGAGTCTACTAATAAATACATTAAAAAGTTTCGAGAAGATTTTGCAAGAAAAGTTTCCGAGTGAAAACAGTGGAAGACATTACGCCTATTATTAATATCCGATCCGTTTATTTCGAGTTTGCGCGAATTACCTCGAAAAAACTCAAAGTCGTTGCTTCCAGTTTTATTGTTAGTTGCGCCACGTATACCAGCAAGTACAGGAAGCTCCAGCGATTTCAAAGTTGAATCATCTGATTGCGAATCAAATTATTCTTTGGATGACGATGCGTGAACTTTTAATCAACCGATTGTCTGTATTATTGTATTAAACAATATATGGATTTATTTTGTACTTTTTTTTAAAAGTGGTTCGTGTTAAATCCGTCATTTTGTTTTTGTTTCAAATTTTGACTTCGGATTCGTAATCGGAAGTCAAATCGAGACTAGGTATGGAAAGCCCGAGGGCCGGGGTCCCGGATTAGTTAACTACATACCGACTTCCGGTCTAGACTCCTGCCGCGTTATTTCCATTCGGTACGCGTGCGTTTTTTTTAATTAAAAGATCATTAAAAATTGCAGCTCGGAATTGTGACGATTTCGCAAATAATTTTTCGTTCTTGTTCAAAAATTATCTGTAATTCGCGAAAAAACACTATCTCATTTTTCCATCCACCGCGTTAGAAGTCCCCTAAATAGACCCACGAGATAAATGATTCTTCTTTTTCTTTAATTAATCTTTAGCAATAACCATTCATTTTAGAGCTTATATAAATAAAGTTTTACGAAGCATACTTCAATTTAATCGTAGAATTTAATTACGGTATTCTATTTGTTGAAACGATGATCGTTAGGTTGTGTGCAGTTATTCCTTTCTTTGTTGACAGTATAGTTCGTAACATAAAGCAGTTTTAGATTTTCGTCAAATAAAAATATCTTATCGTTCCTTACTATTACACAATTATAAAAAACAACAGAGACCAACTTAACAGGATTCCAAAAATATAAAAGATTGCGGAAGACAGAGGCGTCATCCTTATTTAGTAGTCGCCAGGGTGGAGGAATATAAAGCCGGACTTATAATTAAGACCACGCAACACGGCAAATATAGCGCAGTCCAACGACGTTTAGTGGAATGAAGCTTAAATCATCAAACTGATAAATGACTCTAAACAAACTAAAACTATATATATATTAGAGAAACAAAGAAGCAACGTACAGAAAGGTATTGACATCGGAGATCGAAAAGCATTCCCAAAACATGGAGTTACTGTACTTTGGAATTTGAAAAAAAAACGTGCACAAATTTGAATGTATTTTTGGATTCGGAATGCATCCGTGAGAGTAAAGTCAATTTGTAAATTAAAACAAGAAAGTTGTCTGCCAGTGTTAAATGTGTGGGTAATTTCCTCAGAATTATCACGATGATTGGAGATAAGCAACGACAGTCAGCAAAAAGTAGGGATTTTTTGTGACCTTCACACCCAGACGTGAAAAAAAAAATCAGACATCGTTAGATATTGTGACTGCTGGTTTCCAGGAGGTGATTTACAAGATCCTGATTAGGCTAGAAAAAGTCTATGATAATACTAAAAAGCTAGATTTGGTCGACCAAAGATGCAATTGGACAACAAACACACACATTCTGAAGCATGTCCTCCATACAAAAGTCAGTTTCGATTTGTTTGGCCAAAAGATATGAGGTATCAGACAAAACTATGAAAAGGATAGTGTTTGACGTGGAACAAATGGAAAAGGTCTGCATAAGAAACAAATCCAAGTTGAAAACAGAGAGGAAGATAGAAACTCCGCTATTCACGCTCTTTAAAAGGACAGAGAGATGCTCTTTTCACAGTTTCACAGACAATGAAAGTTACTTTCTTTTCCTGCCTCCACATCCTACAACTTATTTTGTAAAGACAAAAGAAGTGATACATTACCTTCAAATTCTAGCAGAGTAATTTTTAATGATAATGTTTTTGATTGGATTAACTGTCCTTTCTTGGGAAACATCAAATAAAAAACAGGGATAAATTGTAAATTCAAATGTTACCAATATCCTGGATATAGCCAGTTAACAATAAGCTGCTAAGAGAAGAAATGATTAAGAAGAAATGGGGTGATGGCAGTAAAGGCAAATAAGACCAAGACTGCAGTTCTCACGTGGAAGTTGTATATTAGTACATCAAGGACACAGAATGCGATAAGGCACCTATGTGCTGGTTGGATATGTATGACATCATCTTCTCAATTGATAATGATTGATTGTATTTGTGAAAATGTATAAAATGACATCACATTGGATAAATGGTCATCCTCAACTATTTTGTTCAAACAGAAGCTATTTAAGTTTGTCACTGTGAATTTATTGTAGTATCCATATTGCATTTCAATGCACCGCGGCCGGTGCGTAATGCGATGCACCATTTTATCTTGGAAGTCCGACAATCATTCATAAAATCATAAATTCTGTATAAAAATAAAGTTGGAATACAGTAGAACCTCGATTATCCGGACTAATTGGGGATGAAGGTAGTCCGGATAAGGAAAAATCCGGATAATCGAAACAAATACCTTAATTTATCTTTTAATGATAATACAACACGTTTTCTTTTCGATGACATATCGATAATATTAAAAATAAATACTGTATTTAAATCGTGATCAAATTTTCAAGAAACAAACGTTCGTATTGAATTTGGACTACTACTGACCAGCGCTAACAGACTACCTATTGTTTAAAAGGCCCTCTGGTGGCGCAAGAAGACGGATTTTATAAAATAAAAAGCAGTTGAAACTGCATTTTTATGAATAAAAATTTGACAAACTATTTATCGTTTTATGACGAGTAAAATTTTTTCGTCGCGTTCGCGGCTTTTAAGTAATGCATAAACCTTCGAGGCGCGAGGCCCTTCGGACCGCGAGGCATAGGCGGTGGCCCACGTCGTCCATGCCTTACGCCGCCCTTGGTCATAGAAATGATGTAATTTGAGTATAAATTATTTATAAATACGTATGTCAAGTTATATTTTTATTATGACGTAAAATATATTTAAAAGTTTACGACCACTGGGTGAGACGTTGTTGAAACAAAAAAGTTATGCGTTCCATCACGTACATAAACAGTGTCGTAATTCGCCAAGTGCAAATCAGCAAATTCGTAAAATTTTTGTTTATTTTGAACAATCCGGATAATCGAAATTCCGGATAATCGAGGTTCTACTGTATAATAAATACACTATATGATATCTAGATTTAAATCTTGGTTAACCTAAAAAGAATTATTTGTTACAGCTGTTAAAAGCAAACAATTTCCATGTTCTAATTTACAAATTTATTTTACTCTCATGCATGCATTTTTCCCTTACTGGAATTCAAGACAAACCCTTTGCCATTCTTGTCTTGAAGGAGAAAAAAACTATGATGCAACAGATCGATCTTGATCGTCCAGACATTACAAGAAACACTATTGTAATCAGAAATGGCACTAGTTGACAGGTTCCCCAATTCAGTATTGTAATCATTTTCTTAATTTGGCTGCAGCATATGCAATAGTTAAC